GGAAGAGAACAAGGAGGAGAAGAAGTGCTGTTCCAAGTGCGTCTGCAAGCCCATTGATGCTGACACCATCGACATCTACGCCAGGGCCGTGTTCCCTTTCACTTTCGCTGTGGTGAATGTGATCTACTGGGTGGCGTACACCATGTGAGAAGGGAGGCAACAGATCTGTGCGAATGGCTGCCATCCAGGGCTGTATATAAGAAACTGCTGGAGCTGGGCCACTTCAGTGCTGGCAGACTGGTGCAGCTGAAACATACCGCAGGCCTCAGAGGGGGAAAAAAAAAACTTCAGAAGAAATGAAGTGTTACAGCCTGTGAATATGGAAATATGGTAATTAATGGAAGTAGTTATGAGTTTAGAAAGTGTTAACAGGACTTATATTTAAATACAAATACAGAAATGTATTGTATAAAGGCAAGGGACTGTGTTGCCTGTTGGAGGTTCACGTACACAGTAAATACAGTTTTAACAAACATCCTGTTATATGAACTCAACACAGGACACTATGACAAATCATCCTGCTTGAATACCTGCAGTAATGACCACAAGCTCACATCTTGCAAACACAAATAAGCAAAGTTAGCTTAACTAACTCAAAGCCACAATCTGGAGTGAACCGCCTGTTATCTCGAAAAGCAAAAGCGCCGCCCAAACTAGAGGATAACAAGATGAGGTGTACTACTATTCTGCATGGCTGATAACTCACTCACCCTCTTCCCTCGCCAGCGCCACCCCCCCTCTTCCTCTCTCTCCTTTGGTCCTCCACCTATTTTTTTTTCTCAATTCATTTTTCGTTTGGGACACCGTCTGGAGTGTCTTATCTCCTTCTGCCAGTTCTGCCTGTTTCCTCACCATTAAAGGACTTCTTCCACTGACCTGTGTGTATCTCTCTCCTGTCTTCAAATGGCCACAAACACAAAATCCGAGCGGTTGTTGGATGTGATTAAAAAAAAAAAGCTGGCAGATGCAACTTTGTAAATGCAGGATCTCCTGAAACAAGAATATAAGCTGCAGTGAATATTATTTCAACAAGAAGGCTCAAAAAAGGTTCTAATTTGAGGAATTGTGAATAATTTCCTTGTATGTCCAACTGAAGAATTATGCTCTATTAATAATTTCAGACTCCTGTCTGTCCTTTGTCTGAACTTGAATACTGATTTCAGGAAAGTTCGGGATGAGAAAGCACTGCTGCTTCCCAGTCATAGAATGACATAGTTACAGCATTAGATTCAACATCACTAAATTTACTTTGTAATAATCACTGCATTCAAGTGCTTTGTCTCACCACAGTCTAATTTGATCTTTTGTAGCTTAAGCAACTATAGTTGGAAACATAATAATCATTAATGATATTAGGGGATCATCAAAAATGTTAGGATTCATTCACTGGAGGCCATTAATATTCACAAAACATTTCACTGAGACCTGTTTAATTATCAGTTTGTCATGAACCAAATTGTTAGTAAAAGGAAAATTAGATAATGGGACTATAGAAAAGGTCAAGGGCTAAGCACAATATTAGGATTCATTCTCTGTGGATAATGACTGTGGCCTGACTACCCGCACCAAAATTAACTGAAATCTGGCCTGTAGATGTTTTGATATCTGATATCTTACAGCCAACTGACCAAACAACTGGCAGACCAAATGCGATTGTGAAGTGAATTTTCATCCAATTTACAGCCAATATACTAAACTTAGCTGTAGCTAACACACATGCCAACCATCTGTGTGGAGTGCGCTGTGATGATACAGGTGGCACGGCAGCTGCCCACTGCTCCTATGGGTCAAATGTGGAGAATGAATTTCCCTGCTGGGATCATTAAAGGATAATTTGACTTTGCTTGAACACTACCTACCCAGACATACTCAACAACTACCTGGTAAACATTTGCTCGATGTCGTCTGAATGCTTAATTGCTGATACATTTGTGTGCTTACAGTTTGTTTCTGCTGCCCCCAAGTGGCCAAAAAATCAAGTAACGCAAAAATACCATCAGATTTCTGACCAATGTTTATAATTCACCCACTAATAAAATAAAATAAAACATCTTGTCAGTCATGTGTCCGTGTTCCACTTTAGAGGTTTAGAGGGTTGACGTTTCTGGACAGCATCAACCCACGCAGCATCCTCACTCTGATGCAACAGCAGTAACATACCCACACACTCCTGTAGTGATTGCTCCAGGGGCCATCAGCATCTCCATTCCCTCTTGTTGCTCCATGTTTTTGTGCGTGCAGAGGCCAAGGAGCGAGGCTGTTATCAGCACAGTGAAAAGGCAGAGCAGGCATGGGTGGGAGCCGGGCAGGGCTGGGTGCTCTCTGAACAGGGAGCGCTGCAGGCCGCCTTCTCCCAGAGAGATAACTTTGTTCTGGGCCAGGAGAGATGACATCATGACGGATGGCGATGAAGATGTGGGCGCAGGGGGCAGGAAACGTTATCTCCTACAGTGGCACCGAGGGGACGGAGACACACACATATACACTTGTGGAACACACTACTCGTTCACTGATACTCTAGTATAGTCACTGCCCATTGAACACATACACACACAGGAACACACACACCTCTGACATGCCTGAGGTGTAGGAGGTGGCAGTCATTTAAAAGTCAGACACATACGGTCCCGGTCACTGTGTGTGACTGTTCTAGTATTTCTAGTACATTTTCGAGTGCACAGCAGCTGAGAACTTTTGGGAAATACGCTGAAGAAACTGATCTCCACCGAACTCAGCAAGGAGTCCAGCAGTAAGTTTGTAGGGCATGCAACTGCAGCATACATATTGCATGAATTCTTTGCAAGGCATATTGGAATTCACAATAACAGAACAAAACACTCAGAGACACAGAAGATAACAGTTATAGAGAGACCTGAGTTGGATTCATGTTTAATTCAATTTAAAAACAGTCATAAAGGAAAGTTATTTGTGCAAGATAAAGTTTATATTTATATAAAAAGGCACACATTATAAAGGGTGAAATATATATCTATTTAGCTCTTTATTTCATTAGTAAGACCCTTCCAATGTACTGTAAGTACAATTTACAACAGCAGACCTTACTGTAACAATCCTTGGATGATGATGAATTACTAACCTTTGCTGTTGGCTTAGTAGCAACTGAGAAACCACTGACCCTTTTTAATAACCATAACAACATTCTATTGTTGTGTATGTGAAAACCATCTTCTTCCATATTTGGTAAATGCTCTGTTGTGAGTTGCAACCTGGTCTCCTAGAAATTCCAGTTACATACAACTAATTTGCAACAGCAAATACATTTTGAAGGAAAAATTATTTTGACCAGATTATGTTTTGCTGTAACATGAATGAACATATCTGGCACAAAAGTTGATCCCGAATATATCTGTAAAGCAGTGTTGGGCTAGTTACTCAAAAAATGCAATATATTACTCATTACTCTTTTAAAAAGTAATAGTATTACTTTACTTATTACTCCATGCTAACAGTAATTAGTTATGGTACTAGTTATATTACTGTTCTGCTACTCCCCACAAAATTGTTAATTGTGTCCCTTTATCCCCAAAATTAAGACTTAAAATACAGTTTTGTTTGTTAAAGTCAAAGTAATGGAATATTTCCAGCTGCTAAATGTGTGTATTTCCATCTTTCAAGCTAGTTTCCTCCACGTATCAATAAGTAACAATAGTATTACTGAAATGTATTAATAATTAGTAACACTACTAGTTTCTGGAAAAAATTATATCATTACTGTAATATCAGTTCTAGTAATGAGTTACTGCCCAACACTACTGTAAAGTATTTATTGCCAATGTGTTCCATTTGTTTTCCACCACAATACCAGATCTTCCAATACAGTATCTGCTTAGACAAAAACTTGTAAACTTGTAACTCAGAGTTCTTATTAGTGGCCTATATCTGATCTCTGCAGCATTTGTTAATAATATATTAACTAGTACTAAAGTCACCGATTATCATAGTTATGAGTGTGCCCTGGTATTGACATTTGGCATTGATGTTTCTTTTTTGGCATTCTGTCTTTATTAAATGGTAACAGTGTAGATAAAAACAGGAAACATGAGAAATGACTTACGTAACAAAAGTCCTCAATAATCCACAGAGATCCTGAGATCAGATTTAAGCATACTCATGCAAAGCCTCCTGGAGTCCTTTAATATTGACTGCAGAGCAGTTTCTCTAACTCTTGCTTACTAATCACTGCTTGCTTTGAATTCCCCAAAAGCTCAGAAGCTTTTATCCTGTTAACTAATTGACAACAAGGACTGCTTGCACACTGACAGCATGCAATAGTTATTGATAATGAACGCTGAAGTGGGGGTACGATGTGAAATGATGCAGGCGGTTACATAAGTTTTTACAAATTTTTCATGGCTGGTTTGGTTCTTGGCAGCCTGACACTGACAATTCTGTGTGAGTTTATTTTTTATATTTATTGCAAAATGCAATCAAATTGAAGAGGCCTTTGGCACTTGTCCATTCTTTACTCCTCCAAAGCCTTTACTGCTGGACATTAAGTTTGTCGCAGTGATACAATGGCAAAACTATATTAGGCTCAAGACAACATAAAGCACTTCATTGTTATAACTTTTGAGACATTGTTCAAAGTTTGAAGTGTAAATTAGTTCATATGCTATTTCTATCTCTCTTGGCAATTTTATAATCAGTGTAATCTTTAAAATTGTTGACTCACATCTTTACACTTATTGACAGCTTTTTTTGGCCATTCATCAACTTTGCAATACTGCTCTGTTGAAAAGCAGACATGGCATCTAAATAAGAGAACAGTATGTCCCACTATCTGTAAATCACTGGTTCAGCCACTATAAAACAAAACCAAACAATCTAGTAATGGGTTTTATACATTAAATGAAGGGAAGATGAAGATCCAGGGATGTACAGGTTGTTAAACCCACCTAAACTCAGCGTCTGTCATTTTCAGTAAGTTACATTGAGTCTAATAAAAGTGAATGTTAAATCTTCTGTACAGATTTTCTGTGGTGCATGATGTGTCATATCCTGAACGTCCTGCTGGCTTTGCTGAGTCGCTTCCTGTTTGCGGTCCACGGGGTGGTGACAGTGTGGCGTGTGGTGGCCGTTAAAGAGGAGCCACTCTATTGGCTTCTGCTGACGGGCGTGGCTCTGCTGGGTGTGGAAATGGCTATCACTCTGAAGTGCACCCAAAATGCTGAGTGGAAATGGTAATGTTTAGGTCACACACCCAGGACAGCACATTTGACAGAATTTAATATAGATTTAATTAGGATGACATCGGGGGCTGTTATTGGACCTTTATTTCAAATCAAATCATTATAATTGAATTAGTAACAATACGTTGGGGTAGGGAGTCTTTAGAAATTACGTAGCACACGGCTGTGGCCAGTAGGCAGAATTGCAATGTCAAAATGTTCTTGAGCAAGACGCTAAACCCCAAGTTGCCTCTAATTCTGTTGTGTCCGGATAAATGCCCACATCCTTCAAACAACCCAGTTTGGAAGCCAAGTTACCCTGATGACACCTGGGGTCAAATTCTCCAGCCTTATAAAGCTCTTGTAGCGACACATTAGACATTATAAAACAGTTTTCACAAGTTGAGCAGTGTAGGAGAAACTTATCTTGATGTGTTAAACTGTTGGAGTGCACTTTTTATGGTTAAACAACAACAGTGATCTCATTAATTTAACAGGTGTGAAAGAGTTCCCTCTGCTTCAGCTATGATGAACAAGTGTGTGCCAGTTTGTTGGCTAAATTAGCATGTACAAACCACCAGGATTGAGGTGTTGTAACCAGGCTTTGTAAACCTGTTTTGTGAAGAGAGTAAATAACTTCCGAGCACTTTACAACCCATCTGCCCAGGGCAGTGAGAGGCAGCTTGTATAAGGCCTGTAATATTCTCTGCCACTAAATTTTCTGTTATCCTCGGCAGCTCTTTCTCTCTTTCACTGTCTATCAAAAACAAATCTATTCCTCTGCTGTGTTATTGCTTTGTCTTTCTCTGAGCCGATGTTCTGAGCCTGCTATCACGCCTCTGTCACAGTCTCTTCTATCCAGTCATGGAGAAAAATGTCTGCTGCTGGCTCAAGTCATTTCTGACCAGCTAGCTTTTAAAAAGAATAAAAAATTGTCTTGAGTAAACATAAAACTGACATCAACCTTTATTGAGAGTCTGCAAAGCATATGAGCATTTAGTGTCACACCTCATTCAACACCAAGCTGCGTCTTATTCAAAAGCTGTAGCTCTCTGGCACATACGCAGTGAACATCCTCAGACGCAAGCTTTCTTCAGGCCTCTCTCTTTCTCACTGAGTCTTACTTTGAAGTTCTCTCCTCATGGAGAAGGCTTTGCGCTGTCAAGTGGGATTTGCATATATGATGAGAATAATTGCCTGTCTGAAATTCGATGCTTCTTTTGGAAAAAAAAAGGGGACTCTTTCTTCTTTAGCGGGTGGCGAAAAAAAAAGAGAGGGTGTCACTAAAAATAACCTACCCCCACCTTTCCTCTCCTTTGGCGGTCCTCTTTCAGGTTCTCCCCCATGGTCTTCCTCTACCTCAGTACTGTCATCCCGTCCATTTGGTTTCTGGAGCTTAGCCTGCTGCAGTCCAAGCTGCCTGTCAACAATTCCTCAGGCCCTGAGCTTCATTTGCTGGCTCACATCCCGATCACGGCGGTAGGCGTCCCACCACAACACTGCCCTCCATGCCTCACCCTCCACGCAGCCACATTAAAGCAACACCTGATATCAGATAAGATTTAAATCTAGCAAGGGGGTGGATAAACTATTAGTTGCAGGAAATGTGTAATAGACACATTGAGATGAAGTCCAGATAGGCTCCTGCTTGAAAAAAACTCTCAGATCTCTCCCCTTTTGGGGTGGTTTTAGTGCAGCTTCTTTCATGTAGGATTTGGGAGCTTTTTTGCCCCTTGGCTGTGCCCGAGGCTGGGTGGCAGCTTTTGAAACTTGAAGAGGAAGTGTTTCGGGAACGTTGTGAAGTGTCAAGGGGTGCTGTCAGGATAAACCCAATGAACCCTGACACAATGAGGAGCTGACTCACAAGTCGTTGCAATTATATCGAGAAGAGAGACGCCTTGTTGTATGGATGATTGCTGTTTCATTGATTAAACATAACTTTTTCACATACCAAGATATAACATTTTAATACTATATTTATGATACCAATGATTGATGAAAAAAGAAATAGCAGGGAAAGCCAGCCAGCCTCTAGAACACAAACTGTGAAAAATTAATTGTCTGATTTGACGTAACCAGATGGTGCTGTTTCCTCTAACCAGAGCATTGTGGGGCTTGACCCAGAGGACTGGGTGGCTGGCCTGGAGCAGACCATGCTCATAGTATTGGTACTGGGTCGTTGGCTGATGCCCAAGGGGGATATGTCTCGCGACCAGCTCTCCCAGCTCCTCATGGTCTATGTTGGACTGGGCGCCGACATCCTGGACATCTTCGACACCTTCAAGGAACCTGAGGTCAAGACCAACCGAGCGGTTGTCATCAGTGGCTTGGCCCTCTTCTCTTGGGCGCTCATGCAGTTTCCTCTGGTGCTCACCCAGACACAACCCCCAAAAGGTGAGTCTCCAGCGAGGAACTTGGGTGGTCTCTCCTGCTGCCCCGGTGCTCCGTCAGCATTCGCCTCCTGCTGCTCCAGTGAAGTGTGGAGCCTGCTGCTCACGGTGGGACTCCAAGATGGCCCTTTCCTGCTTTACCGGCTCTTCCTCATGATCCAAGAGCAGGTACTCAACCAGCTGATGATCTTCTTCACCTGCAAGAACATCCTCATCGTCCTCTTGGAGCTTTATCGAATTTTTGTAGTGCAGTGCGAGCAGCCGGTAGGGGGATTAGGGTTGGAGAGGTGTGCTGCTTTGGTGCTCCGATGTCGTACCAAGAGGGGTGGGAAGGAGGAGGAGGAGGAGAAAGCAGGCAGAGAGGAGTGTGGGGAAGAGCAGAACCTTCATACAGACACAGAAAGGGGCACAGAGAGGGAGGAAGATCAGAGAGGTGTCCAGGTATAGAAAGGCTCAAAATGCCGTGAGGCATGACTTTTGGCCCTCGGGGGGGGGCTTTCACACACCAAGAGAAAAGTCGAACCCATCTGCCATCTCTTGCATCTCAGCCTCGCTCAGAGACAGTCTCGGCTCTCTGGAGGTTCACTGACTAGAAATAGACCACAGCAGAAGAGAATAAGTGAATTTATGCAACTCCCTTTGATAAAACCTTTCAAAAAGTGGTGTGGTCAGAGGAGGTTTCTACACTGAAGAAACTCAGCAAGTTTAACATCAACTGTCAATCTCTTTATTTTATGATTAAATTAACAAGACACCTGGAACCAAGTCAACATAGCTCTGTGCTTTCCAGTACAATAAACTTGTTTTAATCAACTGCATGTGATAATGTGAATTCATCCTGTTGTGTATATGCATTTTTAATAAAATGAAGGCGATGATGATGGCTTTGACAGGGGATAACATTATATGAATTTAATTAATATGAAAAGTAAGATAGTGATAACATGTCTTGCTTAACTAATAAATCATTTCTAATAAAGATGCTTCAGAAAAACAGTGCAGTTTTTTTTTTTACTCTGATCACCATGAGATGGCAGTGTTGCCAAGTCAACCAAAGCACCACACAAATATATATAGTGTTTTCTTGACTGGAACATGCATGTCAGTTACATAGAAAAAACAACAACGGTGAGACAGCAACACAGCAGCACAGTTGCAGCGTTAACTTAAGCATTTGTTGATCTCCTCTATGTGTCTTTGAAAGACCTGATGAGGAGGAAGTAAGACATGTACTAAATGAAATTAAAAGATGTAGTCACCTTCAGGCAGCAGCTATGTAATAAATAGTCTGATGTAGTCAATCTAGAGACACCTCATAAAGTATAACAAGTAGGAGGAGAGTGAAGAGGTTTGCTTCATTTTTCAAAGTTCATTTTCCTCTTGAGCACATTCAGCCCATGGAAGCCTGTTTGAGAGCTCGGTGCATTTTTATTATGTCTGAAAAAGCACACTCGTGATTATGTGGGAGTTGTTCAAGTTCGACATGATTTGCTCTCACTTTCTCTCTTTAGAGAGATGGAAGGTGCTTTTGAGATATTCCTCCACAGCCCATAAAAGTGAGAGACACTGAGAGCCTACAAGGACAGAGATATGTTTGAGCTGAAGCTCGGGGTCTCAAGGTTTTGAGCCACTTCACGGTGGAGACAAACAGTCGCAGCAGCACCCCCCCCCTCCACTTTGGTCCAGACAATACCTCTCCTGTTAAATGAGGACTGAGATGTAGCCCTCCTGCATTTATGGATGACCCTCTCGCTCTGTGTCTCTTACACTGTTGTCATCAGACTGGGAATGAAGAACAGCAACGTTGGCGAGTGGCAATTCAATCAGAGGCCTTTCTTGCTGCCCTGTATCTGTGTCCATCAAATTGCTGCACTTCACCTGGCCTGCAAGATGAAGATGGCAGCCGAGGCTCTGAATGAAGGAGGGACTCTTTGTTTTCAATAAGCTCTCTGTGACAGAAAGAAAGAAACAGAGAGCCAGCGAAACGTGTGTGTGCTTTCCTTCCTTCCTTGATTATATAAATGCATAGAATATGAACAGGATTTCCTAAATCTCCGACTGTTGGCTACCTCCAGAGGATTTGCTGGAGAGCACTACTTTATTTCCTCTGTTTCATCTTTGTGGCGGCACTTTGGTCTAAATTATTGATGGTGGAGGCAAGTTTTAAAAAGAAGAGAAAAATTAATGGAGAGTCCCCATTGAGAGGTTCTTCCAGCAAAATAATGCTGTCTATGCTCCTAGAGTGCTAGATAATTCCCAATTTACACAGTCACTCCCAGTTCAAATGACACCACGCAGAGCCAATATGAGGGAACAGCTTCTTCTAAGCACCTGAGTTTTGGGAGAATCCAGTATTCGTGAGACAACGTGATGTGGGCAATACAATAGGGTGATGAAAGAGCCACTTGCTTGTGAAGAGAGTCCTTTTCCTCTTCAGATTAACTGCATGCTTTAACAAGATTGTGTGGGCATGTGGGAGGATGGGGATGTCAGCTGATCCATGGGCTGCCCTACATAGATAGAGAGAAAGGGAGAGAGCGTGGAAACTCAAAGCTTGCAACTCCAGTGCACATGGATATACCCTCGCGAGCCCTCCACTGAAAAATATCTGTCCACACGTATAAGTGATGCTGCCTTCAGGTGCTGCTTAAAAGATCCTATGTTCGTCTCCGATTAGATCGATTCATTAGCCTTAAAGAAAGCAAAGTCTTTGCATGTGATATCCTTTCCCACTACATCTTTCAAAACTGCTTATATGATCATGTTTCTGAGGACAAAGTGGAATGGTGATCGCTGACAACATATCATTTGCTTGGAGTGATGAGCGTATTAGTCATACTGAAGGTACTCAACCAACAACTCCTATATTTTAGTTGCAGTATGGTGCTTGAACAGATTTTGCTTGATTGCTGCTCTCCCAAGCTTTTAGAAAACTATGAGACTTATGTGTCACGCCCTGTCATAGATGTGAAAGTCATAGATGCAACTTATTCCACATTGAAGTGTGCTTTCTATGGAACCACAATCAAACATAAAATGTAATGTTAAACTGGGCTGAGGGCCTTAAAACTGTTACATATTTTAGCGTACTATAATACGAGATTGTGTGTCATTAGGCAAGCCGCCATTGTTTCCCGCTACGCTCGGAAAAACTGTCAACCCATAATGCCTAACTAGAGGCTTCAACTTGATGTGGTAATCTGATTAAACACAAAAGTATTTAGGATACGTGCACCACACAGGCACAATATAAACTGAATAATAAAATTAAAATATGCATATTAAAAGCAACTACTTTTTGATTCATATTCCCGAACATTTTTTTTATTTCAAAATGTAACTCAGGTCACATGATGAGCTATCTCTATGATAACTAGGCATACGGTCTGCTGAGGAAGACTTTGAGATGTGGTTAAAATATATCTTTCTGAAAGGTATTAAAGTAGAGACTGACTCAAAGTGTTTTGTCAAGCTACTGTTTCCGAGGTCAAGAATGGCTATCGACTCTGAAATGAACAATTAATCAACTTGCCACAATCTAGTGAACCTGGCTCCTTTGGGGGCCCTGGAGATCTGGGGGCAGTTGCCTGCTTTCAATCCCGCCTTGTGTGGTGGCTGCTGTTTCTGATTAAAAAAAAAAAAAAAAAGGAAAACTTTGATGGCAGAATGAAGAGGATCAAGCATGTAACTGATGTCTTGATTAATGCAGAAATGCGATGAACATAATACAGACTGAGAATGAGCAGAGATCAAGGCCTGAGTGTTCCCAAAACATTTACTCAAAATTCATTTCTTAAATAAACCCCCCCTCCCTCCAAGGTATGTTTTGTGTAATGTTAAATAACTGATTATATATTACAACAATAATAGACAGTAAGTTATACTTCAAATTAGCTGTCTAGAAAAGGATCAGAAGACGATAAAAATGCTTGTCATATATTTAGACATATTTACCACTTTATTATATTTTCCTGTCTGGTACACATGGTATTGATATTTCCAACAGAACCTGAAGGCTGCAGAAGTTATAATGAAAAGAGAGAGGGGTAAAGCAGCAGCGAGAAATTCACTCAACCTGAACAGGTGCATTTCCCATGACAGCGTGGAGCGTTTTCACCACATGCCACAATTTCCCTATTTTGTGTCAACTAATCAGGAAGTCCAAACACACCAAGGTGCGCCTCATCAGCCTCCAATCCTACAGATAAACCCGTCAACATGCCACTGAAATGTTACAGCAAGAGAGGAATAGTGAAAACAAAGGCAAACTTCAAATGAACTCCACAACTTTCTGACAGGCGGCTGAGGATCCAGCTCACATCACCTTGTGTAACACCATGGATGGCAAAATAACGAGCTTTACTTCGTTGCTTGTGGATCAGGGATGCTGTATGGCTGTCTTGTTCTCACGTATTATAGGCTTTTGAGATAGAGCAAACAGTGTGATATAGAGGTACCATTAAGCCCTAATTGATGGCAAATCAAAGAACACCTTTCAAATTACATCTGTCATGACACAACACAACACTACCAATCCTCCTCCTTCTTCCTCTGCCATGTGGTCTTCTCCCGTTCACTTGAAACCACCCGATAGCTTCTCATAATGAGGAACGGCACTGCTCCTCAAGTATCTCTGTGCTCCTGATTTGATGTCTTGCAGAATTAAGTTGTTTCATCCATTTTGTTTCCAGGAGGATAATGTATCTCCCCCAAAGCAATGGAAGACTTGAGGTGGCCAAACATCTGGCTACAGTGACCCACCTGTTTGACAGGACTCTGACCAATTTCTTCATTGCGCTCAGCTGCAAAGTGCTCCAATGCACATCAGAGATCAGGGTCTGCAAAAACAGGAATATTTTGCAAACTGATTTACTACCCTCCAGTCTGGCACCCCCTGGCTGTGCATTGATATTGTGTCACAAAGTAACTAGAACTGCCAGACGTAGGGGTCAAGTCAACACTGGTTGGGTGCAGATCATGGTGGTAGGTCTGGGCACCTTGCAAATGGAAATTGTGAAACAACACCTTTCTGGGAGGAGAGGAGGCTGAGCTGGTGTGGTAGATCCATCAAGTCTTGACTGCTTCAAAAAAGGTTTGTAGTGTGCCACCTCTATGGTTAATGTTTGGCTAGTGTGGAGGTGGGTGTGGTTTACACTGCAGGAGGGAGAGAGATGTGGAGATGGCTTGTGAGAGTGGCGCCAGGTGAGTTAATGGTCTCAGCTGGTGCTCATTGAGTAATCACTCTCTTCTTTCTAAATGCAGTAGTGTGCTGGACCTGAGATGGTTGCTGCACATACACCAGAGAGGACTGCTGGAGTTAATTGTTGTAGGCTTTGGAAAAGGGTTAAAGAAGCCTAGGAAATAGCAAAATAGAGACCTGCTACAACTAGGTGGGAAATAACACTACTTGTTTAGTGTTAGGAAAAGGCAGACATTGACAGTTGGTCACCATCATCCCTGACAACCTCCTTCACAGGCTTTCTGGAGGTCAAACAGCTGTTTTTATGGTCAAGAATG